ACCCCATCTCTTTCATTTGCCGTGATACTTTGTGGCTAGGGAAGTGGTGTCGCCTTTTGTAGCCTTGTGTGTGTGTGTGTGTGTGTTAAGTCAAGTTTACATGGCGTTTGTCACGCAGCATTTTTTTTTCCCTTTTGCCTGCGGGGAGGGGGGGGGGGGGCTGCATGTCTGTCGTTTGGTGTCGATGTGTTCTCTCCGTCGGTGTCTCTCGTGCCAGCGCCTGGGGAGGGTGAGGGGACTTTGTGCTGGGGGCGGACCCTTTGATTTATTTTTCTTTTCTTGTATACATTTGCGTTCGTTCCAAGTGATTGCGTGATTCCATCACCACCATTGCTGGCTGCTTTGGTTACCACCATCGCTGTTGCCGCGGTCCGCCTCATTTTCCCCGCCTCTCACCGCAGGCTGCCCCCTTCCTGGCATTTGCCGCCCTGTTGGGTTCACGCGGTTGGCTGCGGCGCCGCACCCGCCCCTCTGCTCTTGACCCTTTTCTCTTTTTCTCCCCTCAGCCTCTTATCTTGGGAGGAGCGAAGGCGAAGGGGGAGAAACCTTCGCGGGGCGGCGATCTGCTTCACGCCGACAGCTGATAAAAGAGAGAGAGAGAGGGAGCGATAAAAGAGGAAGAAGGATGCAACGCCTAGCGACAACGCCGTCGCAGGCGGTGAGGCAAAAGGGCACGTCTGGGGAGACGGACGGTGCTGTGCCTACGACGTTGATGTTGGTTGAGCCGAGCTCTTTGCTCTTTCCCCCGCCCCATCGTAATCGGGCGGTGCAGAACGTTGTCGTGCTGTACAACATTAGCCGCCAGCCATGCATCTTTAAGGTCAAGTCACGCACGCCCGAGCGTTATTACATCCAACCTCACATGGGCACAATATCCGCCCAGGGAGCCGTGCGGATCCGCTGTATTCTGCGTCCACAGTACGAGGATTTGCCGCCAGCAACGCGGGACGTTTTTCGCTTCTGCCTGAAGCCAATTTCGTCGAAGTGGGTGCCAGAAAAGAGGCGTTTGCTGCATGGTGCGAAGCTGAAGAAATTGTGGGATGCAGCAAACATGGAAACTTCGACCACCGTGACAAAAGAGTTAAGCTGCATCTTTAAAGGCGATGCTGCACCTCCGCCCGGGGCGCTGATCACGGTACTTGACCCCGCCACGATTGGCCTTGGCACCCCGGCTGAGACGGCGGCCGCCGCCTCACCCTCAGCAGCGGGCGCTCACGAGAATGATGAACCTGCGGGAGGCACGCAGGAGGCGTCGCAACACGGAAGGAAATCGAGCAGCAGAAAGGAGCAGCAGCAACGAACGGGTATGCGAGGTTCCATGGACCGCACTCGTGACCCGGATTGCCCTGCCAGGAAGGAGCACAGGAAATCCAGAGGGGGTGCGGGCTCCTCCGCAGATAGGACATCGCCTGCTTCTACAACTCAACAGAAGGCCCGTGGGTTGTTCCTTGGGGTGGGGCGTAGTATGATGAAAGCCACAGAAATCAGTGGCTATTATGTGCTTCTTTCATGCGTTATTCTACTGTTGTGCACTGCGTGTGGCTTGTATTTCAGTTGCTACAATGTCCCCGGTGCCGGCGGGATCTTGGGTTATGCGTCCTCTTTCGCGGAAATGCTGTCTGCTGTGGATCGCTATGCAAGCAAGTTGTTCGCCAGTGGACGAAGCCTCTAGGCTGACATACCGCCAGTTTTCTCTACCTTTTCCTTTTTCCCGCTCTTCCATCAACGGAAGATGGGAAAGGGCTGCAGTAGCGCCCAAGCCCACACATCCAAAGCGAATTTGGAATAAAATGTTTGCAACACTTAGTATCGCCCTGTGGCTGCGTCTTGTGGGCGCGTGAGGGAAGCAAGGAGGGGGATGGATCGATGAAGGCGTGTCGGTGTGTATATATGTGTGTGTGTGGCATTGGAAGCTGTGGAATGGCTATTTGATATTCGCCTTCGAGGTCCTGGGTTTCTTTGCCGCGTGTTTCTTATAACTTTTTCTATATCAGCGCGACGGCTTTTCTATAGAACAACAACAAAAAACTACTTTTTCTCTCTGTTGTGTAAGTGTGTGGCTCTGTGGTTTCTTGTGTGTCTTCTCTCCACGTTCACTTCTTTTTTCCCGCTTTTTTTTCCCCCTTCCCCTCTTTCACACATTACCACTAACGCGTGGGCGTGGGAGGCGGGATAGGGGCGGTGCCGGCCGCCAATGGAGTACACCTGCGTGGTTGCCGGTGATGCCATTGTTGGGGTGGATGCCTTGGTGTATCTGCTTGTCGACGCCCCACTTCCGCAGGCGCTGCGCGCGCAGCAGCAGTTAGCCGCCTCATCGTTGTCATTGAGTGCGTCAGAAAATGTGCTTCTGCCGCTGCGGCGGCCATTGCAGCTGCCGCATCCCTCGCTGCCCGAGCTAAACATTCGTGTTTTGCTGCAGGCCGCGCGTGCGCCGTCCGATGTGGCGGGAGAAGAAGCAACGACTGTGGTGGTGCTCGTCTTCTCCATGGCTTCCGCGGATTCGCTGCAGCGCATACAGACGGAGTGGGCGCCGCAGCTGCAGAGCCTAAGTCGCCCCCCTGCCGTAATTTTTGTTGGAATGACGCACGGCCAGAATAAGGCGGCCCCGACGACCGTCCAGCCAGGCGAGGTTGTGCGTGTGGCGAAGGAGGTGCACGCAAAGGCGTACTTTGAGGTGGACGAGGACGACAACAACACTGTTCGCGGCGCCGCTGCGCTGGCAGAACTTAGGCATGCGATTGCCCGGGCGTGCACCGGCGAATTTAATGAGATGGGTACTGTGACGGAGGCAACGATTTATGGGCAACAGCAGTGCGCCGCGCCGACGAGGTCGGCGCAGTCTCCCCCGTCTTCTCTGCTGCTTTTCAGCTCTGGCGCACCTGCTCCCTCGCCCTCGGGTGGTTGGAGCAGCAGCCTGGCGCGGGCGGGCCCCTGCGCCGTCTGGGGGTTTAGGCGACATCCACGCACCAACCGACTCTTTTATGTTAACCGCGTCACGAAGAAGTCGCAGTACAGGCGTCCGCCAGACTACGACGGTGAGGAGCCGGAGCTGACGCTGCAGGAGCGCGTGGAGGTGGAGCGGGAGCGGCAGGAGCAGCTGCAGCGGGAGGGTGATCTGCGGCAAGAACACGAGGAGCTTGTGCGCTTCAACGCGGCGCTGGAGGAGCACCAGCAACGCGTGCGGATGCTGCAGTCCGGCGCCCGGCAGCTGGAGCATGCAGTGGAGCGGCTTCGAATGCAGGCGGCGTCTTTGGCGCGTGGGCGCGAGGGAAGCAGAGTGAGCCGCGAGCACGTTGCCGCGCTGCGGGTGGAGGTGTCGGCGAAGGAGCGGGCCTTCCTGCAGGAGTCTCTGCAATTCCACGCCACGCAGCAAGAGGAAATGGGGGTGGCGCAGCGGGCTCTAAAGGAGGCTGAGGTGGATGCAGAGGGAGATGAGAGCCATGAGGAAGGCGAAGAAGCGGCGCGGCCTTCCGGCACGCCGTCGCCACGGCGAGGAGGCATCGTGGAGGAAATACGCCTAGCACAGGCTGCGATGCAGACAACCGTGGACAACACACGGGTAACCGTGGCGGCGTTGCGTGGGCTGCTCGAGAAGAGCATCAAGCAGCGGGAGCGCAGTGCCATTCTGCACGCGGAGCTCGCCTCCACGTTGAAACTCACGGAGTCGCTCTTGCAACGCACGGCGGCCGTCGATGCGGAGGAGCAACGCATTCGTGCCGCGCTGGTGGCTGAGCGTGCATCCATGGAGACGGAGGAGGAGGCGCTCCAGCCACTTGTCAATGCGCGGGAGATGCTGCTGCAGCGAGGGCGAGACCGCCGCTCGTCCGCAGAGGCCGAGAGTTTGCATGCGATGATGTTGACAGATGAGTTTCACCGGCTGGAGGAACAACTAGCGGCCGCCAAGCAGGGTTTAAAGAGCCTACAAAGGGCAATTTCGCCGGAGGAAGCCTACGAGCTTGCACAGTTGCACCGCAGCCGTAATATACGGGCCTGTGTGACCGCCTTTGCCACATGGGCCTGTCACATTCGCCTCGTCGCACGTCTACAGCAAAGGCTAAATAGACGTCTGGAACGGCTTTCCGATTTACAGCGGTGTCGTTTATTGCTGCTTCGGAACACACGCGAGCGGTGCGTGGAGGAACGTATTTCCCTTTTGCATGAGTGGTATAGGCTAGACGCCGCAGGGAACCTCGGTGGCGGAGGTGGTGATTGCTGTGGCACCGTGGCCCACATGCGCCTTGTGGAGGAGCGTATGGAGCAGCTGGACACATCAATCGAGCGATTGCGGACGTATATGACAAGCAGCGAACACCATGCGGGCAGTCACCAGCGGATCATTGAGCGCTGCCGAGGCGTCTTGGCGAAGTTGTCTCTGTGCAACGTGGATGTATCTCCCTTGGAGTCAGGCGATGAAGTGGCGTCGTGCTGGCTGCTGCTGGCGGGCCGAGTAAGAGAGGTGGCGGCGCGTCTCGGCCCCGGTGTTATTTCACTGGACACGGCTAACGCTCTGGACGGCGACGGCGCCGACGTTCCGGGGGTGACGGGTGAAGCAACGGGCGCCGCATACGTGGCGCACGCGAGGCGGCTCCAGCAGGAGTTGTGCAGCTCTGCCGGGAGGAGTCTGCTGCGTCACTTTCGTCCGGAGGAACTGCAGGAAGCCGCAAGGAGACTTTCTCGTCAGCACGCATTGGGTGAAGAGGGCGGAAACGACAGGAGCGGGGGCGCCACCGACGGCACAACACCGAGACGAGTAACGCCCAACGCGACGTCGTCGGGCGGCCCTCCTGCTAGTCAGGGCAACGGCGAGCTATCACCGCTGCAAGCAGCCGGGGATGCCTCCTCCGCGTCGGCGGCCACAGCATGGATGGAGCATATGCTGCGGTCTGTTCTTGCCCCGGCTGTGGATAGCTGTGGCCTCGATATGGGCGGGGCAACGCTGCCGGCTGAGGAACGCGCGGCGGCTCAGCGGCCCCCCGCGTCGTGCGACGCGCTTCGCGAACGGTTGCGGCGGGAGTACGCCTAATCGTTGCGCTGCGCGTCAGCGGTGTGTTTTTTTTCTTCTTCTTCCCATTTGGGTCCCTCCTCAACGCCCTCTTTTTTTTTCACTGTGTATCGACTTGCCTGCTACGAGGGGACGGGTTTTTGCTTTTTTTTTTGCGTTTCCGAACTACAGAGGATGCCAAAAAAGATATATAAATATGTGTGTGTATATAATAACCACAGCGATGTGTGTTTGCGCGTGCGCGTGCGTGTCAGAGAGAGAGAGAGAGAGAGAGGAGTAGT